AACTTTATTCCAATTTAAGCATCATATTGCTCACTCGAGTTGACATTTCCCATCGGTGGAGAAAAGGATATTTTGTTCCATACAGAAATGCTCACTGATAATCTGCGGGATATCAACGTCTGATCATGTGTGGGTTGAAATAGATTTCTGGCGAATGTTAACCTCGGACGACACTCTATGAAGCCTCATTTTAACCCTAGTTCCCAATGTTCGGGAAGTGAGAGCATTTGCTGGAGGGCAGCGAGAAATTTTGCATATGCCATTTCTATCGAGTAGTTAGCGCTTGTCCGTTGCACTCTGCTTGCATTGTTGCTGGAGCGGTATGATTTTCACAGTAGACGTTGCTCTCAGTCACATCTAGACATATGTTACACAAGTTTTATTTTCATTCACGCCAAGTGAAGAAATACTCTCACTGCATGGGTTTCCTCTTGCGGTGCTCTTCTGCAACCTGCTTTCAACACAGATAATTAAACGGCTTCATTATCCTATTGAGATTGCACATGTTTCCACTGTCTTTTACTGCAATACCCATTTTGTGCCGGGGTATGCTGTTGTTCCGATGAGTACGCAGATATCTACACAATGCGGGCTAGCAGCTTGGTTTTTTCAGCTGTGATCACAGGCATATTGTTTTGTTGATTCCCAGACGAGCTGCACCGGAACGTATGATGGAAAGCTGTTCGCACATGCGCACGTTGCAATGATATCGGACAGCGTTAAAATTGTGAATAATCAAATACAAGCGCACTTTGTTAAGTCAATGAATGTTAATAGGTATTGTTAGTGATATAACCGAATCAATAGCAAAACAAAGCAATTAGTTGAAACATGAGGTATTCCTTTCCTCTCTTCGTAAATATTTCAGCTCTACATGTCCACGTATGAGTTTATTTAATTTTTGCACCCCGAAGGATTGTCATGTGGTGTTACCCGTTAAGGCGTATCGGCAGAAAGGGCGGCGTATCGAAACGGAACGTCGTAAGTTTTTGTATTACTTTGTACCGAGAGCTGTGCTGTCGGTGTGTTTTCCGTTCTATAGCTCATTGAGAAAGCGCTGTATGCAGAATTCTTGCATGCAGCCTTATCCTATCAGCCACATTGTATGTTCCTTGCATGCACTCAGGTCCCACAAGGGTAGGGGCTCAGAACACACTACCTACTTTCCGGGGATAAGGTATTCTCATACGAACGAAATTCACTGTGGGATACGTTCTCCTAACGCTTTTTTACTTAGCCTAGTAAACAACGCATTTTTGGTATTCTCTCTGATCGGCGTTCTGTTCCGATGCAATGGTTACATATAATTGAGTTCGACTTTTCGCCTTAGCATTAGCTTCGAGGAGGTCCTTGCCATTGCAGTATGTGTAGTGTTTCTGTATACCTCCAAGGCAGTTACCAACGCATTATCCCAGGATTCTCCCGGAAGCCGAAGGGCTTGCAGAGGTTTGCTTAAGGTACGATTAAGTCGTTCAACGAGTCCATTCCCTTCCGGATTAAAAGGTACGGTCCTTGAATGTCTGATGCCATTGCGCCTTAGGAATTCGGCATACACATTCCCATGAACCCGAGGGCCGTTAGAAGCGACAATTTCTTTTAGCAACCGGTACTTTGCAAACAAACAACGGAGCCACTTTCTGATGACGGCTGTAGTTACGTCCCTGCATAGAGTAACCTCTAGCCACCTGCTATAGAAAAAGGTAATCACTAGCACCTTTCGGTTTTTCGGCGGTGCATTAGCAACCGGGCGCATAATGTAAAGGACAAGTTTTGCTAATGACTTCTTTGAGTGTAAGATAGGTTGGACTAGAACATTCAGAGACCTCGCATCCTTATCGTATTTTTGGAAGGCATACCATTCCCGAATAACCGCCTCGACGCTGACATTCAACTTCGGTTTCCAGTGATATTGTCGTATCCTGGATGACCTTCATGCGCACATGTAACCGCCAGAGGAATAAGGGTTGCAGGTACCACAAGCTGTTCGCCGACAATAATGCTGCTGTTCACAGTAGAAACCTCGTGCCGCAGAGCATAGTATATAATTAACTCAGGTTGGGTCTTTGTACGACTGGGCCACGAAGTGGATATGTACTCACGAAGCTTCACTAGGACGGGGTCTTTGTCAGTGTGTTATCGCATTAGGTCGATGTTATTGTAGATGTTCCGCCTGAGAGACTCGATATAATTTTCTCCTCATCTTAGCCACATTTTTCCAATCCCTGGAAAGTGGGAGTATGGACAGGACATCTGCAAGTTGGTTAATGCACCTGACAGGTATTTTACTTCATAATCATAGTTTAATGGACGTGATTCCCAGCGACTTAAACGGAACGGTCTTTGGCCTATGTTACCGAGACGTAATCGCATTGTAAGAGCAGAATGATCGGTGCGCAAAGTGAATCAATTTCCGAATAAATAAAGTGTCATTTCTCGCACGCCCAGACGCATGCAAGTGCCTCCTATTCACCGGTAGAATAATTACCTTCAGTATAGGACAAGGTACGCTATGCGTACGCAATCACTTTCTCCTAGCCATCGTGTAGCTGGGACAAAACTGCACCCAAAGTAATATCTGAAGCATCCGTTAAAACAAACGTTGGACTGTGATTATTGAAGATCGCTACTGTAGGAGTAGATACAAACATCGCTCGTATAGTCATTTAAGCATTGTCTTGTTCAATGGCCCAAGGAATCTCGTGGTTCTGGCGCGCCCACCTCCGCAAAAGTTTAACAATGGTCGCAAAATTTGGTAAATGTTGAAGATAATGAGAGCACAAACATAAGAAATGTTTCATCATTGTAACAGTGCATGATTTTGGACAATCGAGAATGGCTCTGGTGTTCTGCAGGTTAGGCGTAATACCCGAGGCAGAAATAACATGCCCGAGATACTGTACCTCCGTTACAGCGAACTAGCAGTTCCTGGTATTTAGGCAGAGATTCAGTTCATTCCGTCTATGCAGCACGTTATGAAATTTTTCCTTGGTTTTGATAGGGTTGCTACCAAAGACACGGACGTCATTCATGGGGACAACACATCCTTTGAGATCGGATAGCGATAGCATAATAAATTTCTGTGAAGCTGGTGGGCCACAAATATGACCCATTGGTAGCACTTTGTACTGTTACCAACCGTCATGCATGAGGCAAGCAGTTAAATGCCGGCAACCTGAAGTCAGTGGCATGCGGTAGTACGCACTGCGAATACCCACTTTTGAGAACTGTTTGGCGCTTGAAAGTCCAACCATCAACTCCTCGACAGACGGCAGAAAGAATTTGTTCACAATTATATGTCGATTAAGCGCTTAAGCTATCTTATCTCAGAATTCGGCGTTACCGAAACAGTTGCTTCGAACAGTTGTTCCAAATACACTTCTCACGAGTTTTCCGAGTTTCGCAAATCACATGGCGTGTAACACATACACACTCCAACGTACGATCCGGAGTCAAACGGGCAGACTGAACGTTCTGTCAATACGGTTAAGCGAGCATTAATTAAAGTGGAAAGATAGAAGAATATCCAGGAAACCATTGACAAATGTTGGCACATTTACCGTACGATGTCAGGTCCAGCAGTACCATATAAGATATCCCCATCCGAAGCGTTTCTCTGTAGGCGTGTCAGAACGATCCTTATACTTTGAAGCCCTTGCTACACAAGAAAGAGAGCAATGTTAAAATGGAGTTGGCTTTTAACCGCCATTATGGAACACGCCCCCGGCATTTCGTACTTGATGATGGTGTGTACATAAAGAATTTTCCTGACGGTAGATCATCCTGGATTCCTGGCCGTGTCGTTGAACGGATTTCAAGTGTTTTGTACGGAATATAAGTCGAATCAACCATATGGACTAGACATGTGAATCACATTAGACCCCTTTTGATATCCAAGGGACTCCCAAAAGAGGAAGCTTCACCACCTTTGGACATCTTCTGGATACGTAACAAATTACCGCGTCTGCAGATCCTGTCGTCCAAACAGAAAACGAAACTACAGATCGAAGATACTCAAAGCGAATCAGAGCGTCAGTGCAGAGACTCGAGGTGAACCCAAGACGTAAAGCACACCAAACAAACGTGGCGTGCTATTTGGTTCGGTTTAAAGGAGGGAGCAGTTAGACGGACTTGAGCTTCTCAGCTGCTCACAGCTAGATAGTTTGATATGCGTGAACGTCTCGTCACCTGATTGTGTTGTACACACGCACGCCAGTCGTGCAGATGTAAAGACCGCTCACCATTCAGATGTCCTTTCATGTAGTTGGCCTACTGATCTATTTATCTTTCGCTTCCCGGTTGCTCAGCTTTGTCAGGTTTTCTATCCCGCTCGCCCGGCACGGTGGTGTTCTTGGTTCCCGTTCTGAGTGGGTTCAGTTGCAGTCAGCAGACATCATAGTCATAGTCATAGTCATACTCCCGGTTGTTTCAGCCACCTTAAGTTTCGGACACTCCCCAATTTAATCTCTACAAACAAACAGCATCTCACAATGTTCAGTGCATCGCATTTTGGTACCTGGGTGATGAGTGAACTGACGTTAATGTACACCATCATCTTGGTTTCTCACGAATTTTTGACAGTTCATTACAAACGAATTCGTTCAATCTGTCAAAGGCTGAAACATACTAAAGATTGCCCATAGAACCGAAAATGCCTAACAGCTGTAAAACCAGATGAAGGTATTCTGAATATTATTGCAATGATTAGCAATCAGTCAAAAAACATGGGCATGCATTAGTGATTGTGCGCCAACCTAGATCCAAAATGATGTGCTTAAAGATGGAGTGAAATATATATATGATCAAGGAATGCTTAAGCAAAAGCTACATTTCGTTATGGATGAATTAATACGGAAAAGGAAGAGAAAATATAAGACAATTAGCACAGCAACGCGCAGTCGGAAGTGAGCGCATGGGACATATTAATATTACAATGCTCTGCCCATAATACCCGCCTGTCTAGCAGGTCTCGTCTTTGATCATTGTTCAAATAATGGACGCGTCTAGAAGGTCGTCCGTAGAAGTAATTGATTCGCTTGTACGTGCCTGACCCCGATGCGATCCACCTGGCAGATCACATCCCGAAATCTTGTTCGCAGGCACATTTTCCAGATACAAACTTGATCGCATGCGTGTCCCATACTGATAACTGAAATATATTGATGAATCGAACCTAACATGAAATACACCAGAAAACTGACCTTCAATCTTTGTGGCGTTGCGCCTTGTCCCAAGCTTTATTTGCTGAAAAAAGTTTAAAACGGAAATTACTGATGGCTTGGATTGCGGATGGATGTGACGATAAAACTGCTCGAGTAACAATTCTGCATGCAGGCAGGAGACGGTTCCAAGATGGCTCAAAATCTTCACTTTTCTTTTTGAATATATGTATATTACCTCGGTCACAATTTCCAATTCATGAACGCATTTCCTCAACCAACAACAATATCCCACGTTGGTCATCGCATGGCTCACCAATGGTAGCAGCAGATATGCTGTTTACGTTAAGGCGGATAAGAGCAAACATGATAATATTAGAGACAACCATCTTTCTTTTCCACTTTTATATTTTACTTCACACCCGAAACCATTTACTAAACTTCTTTCCAACATTTCCGGCTTAGTTGACTGCTACTGTAATGTAGCTGGATCCACATAATAGAACACTGAGTTCCCAAACCATCCACTAAAAGCCTATCTGCTGCAGTTCCTTATAAAGCCACGCTACCGGTTATCCAGCTTCCTCGAACGCTTACATTCTAGGGGAACTACGTCACCAAGGCGCAATCGCACACACGTTGGACACTGGCTATTTACGTGTGTTGTTTATCCGAAAGTTGGATCAATAACTCTAACGGTGGTATCGAAATAACTGAGCGCGTCTTGTCCTCTCGCTATTGGTCGCACGCAATCGCAGACACAGAAGCGACAGCTACGGGTCAAGCTGTGGTTGACAGCGTTCTCAGCTCCAATATTGAGCCATTTATGGTAAATTGGATTTCCCGGACTAGCCGTTTGTGTGCAACTACTTTAGCGCCATCATCTGATCGTGATTCACAGAGAAGTGGAAGTCGACTTATGCTTGTGATTGCACCTCATGCAGACAAGAAAAACGGAACCTACTAGGACGCATCGTTACCGAATACGAGCCGCAAACGCTGGAAAATTAGGATGTTTTTTTGGACCACTGCCATAATAACCATCTGGTCACGACAAACAAGGCTTGCTTGAGTACGACGCATCTTTGTCGCTAACATTGCTGTGGCTCTCTCAGGCTTATTGGCTAAGCGCCCAAGGTTGGAGGAGGCTGATCAGGTGTGACACTGATGTCCGTTCGGTGTTGTTCATGTATGGTGGGCGTTCCATGTCGGCACTACGGATGCGCGTATATCTGATGGTTGACAACAGAACATCTGGTTCCTCGTTGGACGGTTTGTTGACCACAAAATGTAAACGGTCCCAGTCGAGTGCTCCGCATGGTCGTCGCATTGCTGCCTCGCTCTTTGTTTGTTTCTAACATTTTGCCTATTTGTGTGAACTTTAATGCAGCCAAGTATGGACCTGGAAGAAGAAAGTGTATAATTTCTCTGATAATCTAATTCGGGTTGCAATCTATCCTCTTCTGGATGGGTACCTCGAAATCAAGCAACACAGTGGCGAATTGCACCCTTATGTACGAATCTGTCAACAAGTCCGCAGCGATTTCGCATTCCCCTCCTTATTCCCAGGTCATAAGAAAGCTAACCGACTGCTATTTCTTGCTTGTACCTGCGTGATGATTAAGAATATTGGTATAAGAATTATTGTTATTTACCTATTGTTAATATGGTTTTCTATGCCTTGGAAGTTGAACCACCTCACATGAGTGCGCGGATTTTTGGTGATTGAATGAAATGAACGAAGTAAACATCCTTCAGTTGAAACTTTTGTATTGAGCAGATATAGCTTGCAAATGCCTGCTGTCGTCGCGTATTGTCTTTTTAAAGTAACAATAGGATGTTTCATTAATCTTCAACTCCCATTATAGGCCACAGTTTATGGCGGTACATCTGTCTTGGCCACAAAACCTTGCCACATAGTCAGATTTTTAGGGAGCTCAGAAGTGCAGCACCATCGACCACATTATTTCAAGTATGGTTCAGGCAATTATTCATTAAAAGGAATGTGTTGTACCACCAAAAACGAATAGAAGCTGAGATAAACAAAACTAACCCTGATTCCAAGTTGAGGACTATGGATAATTCTTGATGTATTCAGTATATTCATCATGGAATTTTCGGTTGCTGTTGGGATGGAGAAGTCACAGTTAGCTTGGTTTCGCTAAATAATGCAAAGTAAGTGGTGTTACATGAAAACCGAATAGGCGATGATAACAGGTTTTCTATGAGTGCTCGGTGTCACAGTGTATTTGCACACAATTGCTGCATATCATCTGTCTTGTGATCGAACCTTTGTAGATTAAAAACATGGTCATTGACTTTCTACCAAAACTAGTGGCCTCGCCACTTTTCAAAAGCTGTTATTCGACGTTAGCCATAACATGTCTCACTGGAGTTCACATTTGACTCTCTAAGGTTCGGGTGAAGTAAAGAACCGGCGAGTTGGTTCCAAACAAATGTGCTCGCCGATGAATTGCGGAGACAACACCGACTGATTATGTGTGGGGTGAAATTGATTCCTGGCGACTGTTACCATGAGCACGGATCACACATAGGAAACCGCCGTGTAACCCCAATTCTGATTTCAAGGGAATGAGCATAATTGCATGATGGCAGCGGGGATTCCTGCTTGCGCTCTGTCTAAGACGAGTATTTGTCGCTTGTCCAAGCGGCACTCTGCTTGCATTGTTGAAGGGGCGGTATGAGTTTCTAATGTAGACGGTGCTCATAACCCCATCAAATGGTACGTAGGTCAACTATCATTGGCATTTATCCTCGAAGTTGATAACACTGACATATATTATTGACATTTGAATTTATATCTCGAGGGATGTGCTGTACTATACTATGCCGAGAGCGGACTATTATCCCGGCATATTGGCAAACACGTATTTAAATTACAAATGCAAACAACATTCGGAACCAAGGCAATTGTTACCATGTTGGATTATGTGAGTGTCATTTACAGCGTGATGAAGCACGTTCGCATGTAGGTGTCATACACTTTCAGCGTAAGACGGTACGTCGAAATACATTCAGCGATATCAGGATATGTCAAGCCGAAAGCAGTAAGGTGTTTGGCTGGTGTATAATGTGTTATCCCTCGATTATCAATAATGACGGAGGTGGGGAACACTATTCATCGTCTCAAGATATTTTTTGCTTATGCATCGCGATATGGCTGTTACGCTCCCCTGATCCATATTTAACCACTTTCATTATGCATGTACTTCCATTCAATATGCGTCACAGATGGAAACATCCACAATGTGAACCGTGGAATTTTTAACCGCAAGTCAGTCTGGCTTGATGAAAATGGTGGCGGTCTGAATCATAGGCTGCATAACAATGTTTGGGCTACGGCGCCGCAGTTGCCGCGCAATCTATTGCGCAATTTTGTTATATATTTTACAGCGGACATCATGCGTGATACGACACGCCCGACAAATAGGAGACAAAGTCTCCTTTTGTCCGCAGCTCCCGCTGCAATTTAGAGAAACCGGGTCATTTGTAGGTCTGCCTCTGCTCCGTCGTGTTTTGCTAAAAGGAAAACCCCCGTAGTTGGACACCCGGAAAGAAAAGACCTGGAAAAATCCAGGTGTAGTCCCTTAGACAGTGGTGCGCAGAATGCCTCGTGGCCACATTTTATGAGAGAGCCATACATTGAAGCGAAGAAGGCATCCCTCCAGGCTTCCGCAGCTGAGCTTTTACCCATGAAGACGCTATTATCAATGGTAACGGCAGAACGAGCCAGACGATGGACAGCCGCGGCTGCATGGTCACGGATCGCCCAACTGGTAATTGGCATTGGATGGTAATTGGCAAGATGCCGTTCCAACCTCTCCTTCGGTAGCACGGGAATATTCGTGGACAGTCAGGGAATACCCAGACCAAAATTCCCAATGAGAGCGTGAAGCGATACAATTGAGTTATTTGACATCAAATCAACACTTTTTGTGCTGGACCTGACAATGCAATCTAACCGCTTCTATGTATTCCGATGAACCACTGCGAGAGGTAACTGAAGAACATGTTTGGGCAGCAAATAAGTTCTCAGTACCTCCAGTCGTTGCTGTGGCTTAAGCGGTGCCTTGTTGACTTCATCGATTTGCACAGTAATGTCGTCAATTACTGTTGGAGAGGGTTTACGCTTCCAGTTTAATGGCAGTCCCAACATCTTAATCGTTTTATCTGGATGAATAGAGGGAAGGAAAGAGTCACAGTATAAAACATTCGTATTCAGTATGGTCACTTTGCGAGCGCTGACAACAACTATATTTAACGAACAAGACTTTAGGTGATAGATACTGAGGCCGACGCACTGCAGTCATTGATTGCATCATTTAAGAAGATCCCAGAGTGAAAACGCGATCTTGCGCAAAAATGATCACATCGTCCGCATAAGCGAATTACTTAACCGGGCCTGTGGAGGAAATCCAAGGCGAGGTGGCGACTCCGTGTGAAACTTCATCGAGGGACATTATGAAAAGCAAAGTGGAAAACAGATCTTCTTCCGGACTCCTCTATCGGGATGAAGATTAACGTCATTAAAAACTGAGGACGCGGAGCAATATTATGATGAGTGGTAATCCAACGGTATCGGGGTGCTCCGAATACAGCTGCCGCTCAAAGTAAGTTGTGCAAAGAAATGGAATCGAACGCTTTCGTGATATCCACTGCAACAAATGTAAGTGGAATACGAGAGGTGTGAGAATGGCAGAGAACAGCATGGAGTATGGATGGGGCTTGGAAAGGGCTAACTTCACGAGAAAAGCCAAACTGAAGTTGGGCGGTAGGGAAAGCCGAGAACCAACGATCAAAGAGGATAAGATGAAGGAGGCGTGTGGAAGTTAGATGAAAATGAGATTGCACGGGGTTATTAGGGGAGGTTGGCTGGAGGACTTTGGGTACGAAGCTGAAACGGGTTGCGCTCCTAAGGATGGGAAAAGGCAGGAAGCAGAAAGACAGTTTAGGGAAGAAGGTACAAAGGAGGGAGCTACTTTGCAACCTCAGTGGGCTTGATGAGGTATATACCGTGCGCTGAATCCCGCATCTCGTTGAGAACACTTTGCATCTCCTCCAGGATAATTGGTTTCACCAAGTCGTCATTAGCTGGAAGGAATCGACGCGGTGCTCGGTCCTCATTAGCAGGTGGTCTGGATGGGACATTCATCAAAAATTCCGTGAAGCCTGAAATGGTCTCGTCCTCATAAAGTTAGGCGGTTTGTCATCTTCTGTCAATCACTGTAGTTGCGGCATATATTTTGGCGGGTGTGTTTGAAACGCTGTATAAGTTCATATTGAAGACATCGCCGGTGTTGGTTGTTTCGAATCGTAAGAGCAAGTACGCGTATTTTCTAGTATCTCCATCTGTGTGGAAACAGGGTAACACACAGAGTGTTTAGGGCCTCAATGAATATGTTCCTCGATTCATCCGTGACGAAGCAATTCACCAGATTCAGATGCATGGAGTCTTCTGCTTTGGCAGGAGAGTCCCAGCTGGGGAGATGCTGTTGGGCCGCTAGCGGATGCGAGGGAAGCTTCACAAGTAGAATTCCTACTGGCTTGTTGATCCTGTCCTGCCATGGCCGTGGGGCATGTAACGGTCGTGGATGTGGGTGCCAACATCGAGGAAAAGGATGGAAGGGCCTGAGGTCCATCTGCAGTGTTGTTATAAAAACGGAGAGTTGGCGCTCGCACCTGGGAGCGTACTGTTGCCACTCTAACCAACGCTGAAGAGTGAGGCGAGATTGCAAAAACGATTGAGACAGTGATGGAAGCCTCGTGGAAACGCGATCAGTGTCGGAGGAGGGGATGGTCAATGCAGAATTGACTTCGTATGATTCTCGAGGGGCTTGTCTAGACAACTCCACGTTAGTGGTTACTGTAGTTTGAGATGGGTTGGCTATACCGGACGTTACGGTTGAGAAAATCGACGCACATGAGATTCTTTGTGGATGCCTGATCGGAAGTTGTTTTTCGACTGATGATTGCGGAGATGCACGAGTAGTAGACGTTGTGTGATGTTGATGAAATAATCATTAGTCCTTGTAAGCGTTTCTTGATACTGACCCTGATGCGAAAGTTGAAGATGAGCCGCAATGGTTTCAAAAGGAAAGTTAAGGAAGTAGACGTAGTCACAAAACTTGATCTGTTAAAGCTAGGGATTGGTCATCCCAGGCTGACCATTTGTTAGTTTGCCGCGCTATTCGGGCAAGACAGTCAGCATGGTAATTGGTAGGTTGCTGATGTCTCCAATGATTTGAGAGGCCATATTTAGTCGAAAACGTACGATGGCATGTTGGGCATTCGAAACCGGAAGTATTCCTAGCAGCAGCCGTGGAAAATGAATTCGTAAGGTTCCTAAGATGGGCGGTCAAATGGCACCTCCGGCCACTCCTACATTTAAACGTCCTCGGACACTGCAAACAAGATGGAGGCTGGAAGGTACTAAAGATTTCCGCATGATCGGAGGTGAGAGACGTGGATGTTGAGAAAGCAGCTTCAGCAGGGGAAACTGTTTGTGGTGGTGTTGGCGACCACCGAGAAAGACGGTCAATTAGTACATATGGCCGTCGTGACTCCGAATGTAGGGCTACGAGTGATAAAAGTGAGTGTGTGAGTGAGTGTGCAGGTGTCGGGTGGACGCGGTTGCGAGAGCTGGCTATGGAGTCGGCAGAGGCCGATCCGTTTGATTAGTTGAAAACGCAACCAGCGAATGCACTGATCTGACTCTGCAGGGCAGGGGACGAAAGGGGACAGGTGGGAGCCTGCGCAGTGGGTCGTTCTTAGGGCTCTATCTGCAGCTGGGTGAGGGAGGTCCATCGAGGTGTGCATGTGCAAAGCAGCATTATTATCGTTGCAGGCGTTAAAAGCCGGGCGTTGGTGATAGAATCCTTGTCGGACGATCCAGGTCCATAGAGAGGTGCGAGGCAGCAGGCCGGCGGCAGGTAAACGATTTCCAGTTAAAAGGTGCCTCCAATTATTTGCCAGCCGCCGCATCTAAATAGGTAGAAAGATGTTTCCGGTCTCCGGCTGCCGTAATAAGAAGGTTCCCACCGACCTCACATATGTAATGCAGGACAAAGGCGGGCGGTGGAAGATCTGTTA